GTGATACATCTTTTTACAATCTTTAGTACGTAAGTTTATTGTGTAATCGAATGTTTATTTATTTATTTATTTATTTATTTATTTACAACATACTACTATCATTACAGGTTTCCCTAATGCGATAGCGTAGACATAGACTTACACTTATTATAACATAAAACATATAATACTGCCGGTACGAATTCATTCAATGAACAACAAAATAAATCTATAGACTTTGCAGCCTCGTTTAGACAACGTAACGTTCGTTGTATAGGTGCCTCTCTTAATATGTTTGTGCGTGCATATGGTAATGCGAACAGAGGCGGCTGTCGACGCCGCCACACATATCGGTTTGGAACGCACAACCCTACTGATTCTAACACTATATGGTTAAAAATTCGACCACGCAATATTTTAAACATGTACGTAGCTAAACTCAATTGCCTTCTAACCTCTAACTTATTATATCCAACCATGCCAAGCACAAATAACGTTGGATACATTAAGGGGTAAAATGGGTACACGCCATAAAGCTTGAAATATAGAAATCTCACGAATTTGTTCTGTATCCGTTCTAGCATAAATTTGTACTTTTCTTCATATGGACTCCAAACGGATGCATTGCATTCTAGATGACTTCTTACTAGTGCTTCATACAACATCCTTACTGCATTTAAATTTGTAAACCCATGCGATTGACGCAGTACGAATCCCAAATTACGATAAGCTTTTTTGCAAATTTTTATTACATGATCTTTGAAAGTTAGGTTAGCTGTAAAATAAACTCCAAGATCTCTCACTTCAGTTACGCGTTGTATAGCTACTCCTTCTATCTGATACCGAAACTGGCAAGGTTTATGCGATAGGGTGTATGAAACTACTGAGCATTTTGAGTTGTTAAAGTATAATTTGTTTCTATGACTCCATTGTACTACCCTATTAATATCTGCTTGTAATTTGTCGCAGTCCAAAATATCGTCTATTTTCCGCACCAATTTCAGATCGTCAGCAAAGAGAAGGCAAGTGGCATTCCTAACTACTTCAGGTAGATCGTTTACCATCAAAATAAATTCCAATGGACCCAAATTACTCCCCTGGCTGACTCCCGATCTAGTAAAGTACGGGTCTGACCACTGACCGGCCCAGTCGACGAACTGCCGTCTATCTCTCATGCGACTTGCAAAGAGTGAAAGTGTTTTCGGCGTACATCCTGCTTGTGCTAATTTCGTGAGTAATATATCGTTATCAACTACATCGAAAGCTTTCCGGAAATCAAAATACGCCACATCCACTTGAGCTCCAGAGTCTACAGCCGGCGTAAGTTGTGTCATCAATTGAAGCAGATTGCTAGAAGTACTACGACCCGGTCGAAAACCGTGTTGCGCTTCCGTTAACTGAGCATTTACCTGTGAGTATATAGAATGGTGAAGCGCTGCCTCAAATACTTTAGCCGGGGTACACAGGACTGCCACCGGCCTAAAGTCACTGATTTCCACACTTCCACGCACCTTAGGTACAGGCACCACTCTTGTCAACTTCCACCTATCTGGAAATATTCCTTTATCTAGACAAGTGTTAAAAATATGTAGAAGTGGATCCGCCAGCACTCTGTAACAATCTTTAAAAATAAATGGCGGCATACCATCAGACCCCGTGGAGTGTTTGGGTTTAAGTTTTTTCAGTGCCCGTTCCACATCAGCCAACTGCAGCTCATGACATTGTACTCGTGACACACTAGCCGGCGCTGTTGTACTCGCCGTCGATACGTCTAATACCGCTGGCCTCGGACTGTATACAGAGGAAAAATAATGTGCAAATTCCTGTGTAGCCTCCTGATCTGTCAGAATGCCACCTTGCTTGAATAGCTTTTGTTTATTTAAAGGATTTCTCTTACCCTTCACAAACTGCCAAAATAATTTCGGGTTTTTCTCTAGACTGCTTTGTACCCTATCTCTGTAACGGTTGTGCGCCAGTACTACAGCTTCCTTTACTCGCGTTCTGCACCGTGCGAATTCAGTATAATCAACAATCGACTTAGTTTGCTTATATCGTCTATGTAATTTATACTTCAAACGTATATCACGAATCAAGTCCGTCGTATACCACGGGGGGTAACAATATCTATTATTCAAAGCTCCTGAACTGGTAGTAGGTACACACTCATTAAAAACATCATTGACAATATCGTAAAAATAATTTAAAGCCTCGTCCGGATCCACAATTTCATATAATTCATTCCAGTTCAAAGTTGATAAGCTATTGTATAATAGATAAAAATCAGATTTTGAAAACTTCCACTTATTACAGTGTAACTGGGATGGCTGATCCATGTCATTATTATTGTACGGGCCGAAATCGGATATCGAAATAGAAATATTAATTGGTGGATGATACCTATCTATAGGCTGCAATCCTTCTGTTACGCTAACCGATATACCCATACCATCTCCACCTAACACTAAATCCAACTGCCTACCGTCACAATTAGGAACATGGTTGTTTTGAACGAATTCGCAAAATGACATTAAATATTCATAATAATTACATATATCCATACTAGCAGAGTACAAATTAAAATCTCCTAAGACTAACAATTTATTTTTGTATTTTAAACATAATTTTTCGATAATATTAAACATAACCATGTATTCATTAATATCCGCTTTTGGTGGTATATATATGACACAACAAGCAAACAAGAACCTGTTTGTTAAATGTATTGTTGCACAAACCATTTCAAATGCACACACTTCCAAGTTAATATTGTCCGATGTGGGTATCTGTCGCAGTTCGTACCGCGGTGTGGCCACTAAACACGCTCCTCCTTGTTTCCGACCGTCCGCTCGATCACAACGGAGTATTTGATAACCAGTCGGGACAAGCTCGGAATCGTATATTGATGCATTACATCCAGTTTCCGTAATGGCAAATAAATCCTCTTTTGAAGACTGAATAAAAGATAAGAAATTTATTGTTTTAGTACGTAGGCCTCTAACGTTTTGATATAGTATTTCAGCCGTCCTTCTACTTTTCTTCCTTTGATTCATTTGAGTACTTCCGAAACCAAATCCACTCGCTGAATTCAGCATCTCGTGGCCATGCCGTTGGTTGATTTATTTTCCCAAAGATACGTTTCGGAACTCCGACAATGAAAGAAGAATAATCTCTTTGGGTTTTATGGATTATTTTTTCAACTTTAACAATTATTTCTAAACCGCAAACCTTTTCTACATGTTTTCGGATTTGTTCCTCTGTAGTATTCTGATGTAATCGCCATACATGAAGATATTTTTTACGCTCAATAGCCTGCAAGTTTAATGACTCATTTTCGCCCCTTAATACATTTTTAGCTTGTGACTTTCTTTTATTACCAGTGAAAATGCTATTGTTATTTTTATTATTACTGTTACACTTCTTCGCAGTTTTTTCTTCTTGAGGTTGATCACCTATTATCACGACATTTTCATCTGTTCTGTTCTCCACCACCATACTGTTACTAGCATCCTGTACTGGTGTTAATTGCTTAGTAGCAATTTTCGTGGCCCCACACGGCTCCTTATTGGCAGAATTAATATTACGCACAGTTGTTGGTATGTTGGTAAACCATATAATAAATAAATAAATGTATGTCCACTTATGACAGATGAATTATCTGTCACGAAGCAGTTAATAGATGGAATCGAGTATTACGAGTCAAAATTAAAAGCTGATGCTAAAAATGACTTAGTTAATTTTATTCTGAAAAATCGTTTATCACAAGGCGCGAAACTAAAATTAAAAAAAAAGTTATCCGAATGTAATGGAGTTATTAAAAGATATGAGAAAAAGGTTGCTGCCTTTACAATCAGCTACAGCTCTTCAAAAGAAATTGTTGTCCTTAAGACAAAATAATATGACCACAGAAGATTATGGAAAATCTATGTCTGATTTATTTGTTAATCTTACGATTTCGCAATCTCAAAACGATGAAAATAAGTATAGAATTTTAAAGAGTATAAATGAAGAACAAGCTATAAAGCAATTCGCTGAAGGATTGCGAAACCGTAGATTGGGCACGGTCATATCGGCTAGGAATTATGAATATTTAAAAGATGCAGTGCAGGCCGCAGTGGATGAAGATACTTCCTTAGATCCGAGTGCTGGTGGGGAGCTACTAACTATGCGATCGAATAGATATCAATATACTCGAGGTAAGTACACCAATCAACGGCAGCGTGGATATAATCATCATGGTATGTATCACAACAATTATAATTATAGAGACCAAAATAGGTATCCAAACCGGACGCGAGTTGTTCGAGGTTCCTCAAGAGTATGGCGGGGACAAACTACAACTCTGACCCCGGTGGACGTAAACAGTGATCTCCGTATGTTTACTCATAAAAAAATAGTAAATCTTCGTTTAAAGTATAAAGAATAGTATATAAGTAGAAAGTGTTATGTAAATGTTATGTTAAAATGTTCTCCACAAGATGAAATAGCTAATTATCAAGAAATAAACAGTGAAAAGTGACAGTGAATAATATGTGTTTAAAAATACAAAACAAAAAGAAAGGAATAAAACATAATACTATAAAGTGACATATAAATTAATGTAAAACTTAAAACATTACCTAATAAGCATGGAAATGGTCTACTGAACAAAAATAAAATCGACGATTCGTTAATTTTATTTAAATGTGGAATCATTGTATGCCATTATAAAAGCTATTTACATTGACTTTGAAGCGAGTTTGTTATGCGAGTAGTGAATGAAACAAAAATATGAAACAGCTGTGTGTCAGCTGACTTTGTTTTATTGATAAAAACGACCACATACGGCTGTTTCCGAACCAGCCCGATGTCAATATAGCAGAGTATATTACGCACATTTGTCATTGTAACTTGGCACTCGATAGCGCAACGGATCTCAGCGACGCGTCTGTCTCTTGAGCCCTAAAATCAAATCCAAGTTAGAGAGAGATTGTTTTATTTGCCTTTTTTTCTACTAACAAACATTAAACTGAATACAGTACAAAATGTCGTCACAGTTAAAGGCGACAGCAAGTAAAACGTCGAATAAGAAGTGTAATGTTTGTGGAAGAACCACTAAAAAGGAATCTATAGTATGCTGCACTTCTAAGAGAAATTTTGATTTAAATTGTGGCAATATTTCCGAAAAGCGATTTAATTTAATGACAACTGAAAATAAACAAAAATGGAAATGCGATAGTTGTATAGGAAAGAAAATGACCGATAACCAGAATAAGAAAACAAGTACACTTGTACCGCAACAAAAAATTCAAACTGAAAAAGAAAATGAATTGAATGTCTCATTTGACAAAAATATAACTATAAGGAAACCAAAATGTTTCCCGGGAACTACTCCATCTAGATCTAATCAAAGCATACAGTATGATCAGGATAATTCATTTTTGTCTATACACTCTCAAACGAATGCGACAAGTTTACCAGATTTATCAATCGGATATGACGAAGAAATGATAACATTAAAAGACATTATAAAAGATTTAAATATTAAATTGGAAAGTGCTCACTTAGAAATAGAAAACCTGAATTTAACAAACAATAAATTGAAAAATCTAATACAGGAAAAGGACAAGAAAATAAGAACATTAACTGACATTTGCTTTGGGAGCACAAATAAGAAAAAAGGGAACACAATAGACTCCTTAAACGAAATTCAAATAAATCATATGAAATTTTAATGGAAGACAATGAAAAAACCTCAATAAAAAGCACATATGAGGAATTTCAAAATGAGTCAAATGATGAGACACGCGGAAAGGAGGTTAACATCAGTAAAAAAACTTTCACTACTAACAATAAGAAGAAACTCCTGATATATGGATCACAGCAATGCGTCGGTCTAGCGACGGCACTAATAAAATTTCGCAGAGACACAAACCACGAACGCTATGAAATCAGCGCGATGACAAAACCATTTGCATCAACTGACCAAATACTCCAATCAATTAATTATAAAAACTTAAATATTGACTCTAAGATTATCATGTGTGTTGGAGAAAATGATAAAAACTTTCTTAAAACCAAATCGGAATTATATTCTATTTTAAAAATGTTAAAGAATCATAATGTGATTGTCATTGAAATTTTGAATAATAGTTATTTAAATGAGAGAATGTTAAACTATAACATAAAAATGATTTGTGATTGTTTTGAAAATTGCTACTTCCTACAGTTAAGGGAGATATAAATTATCGTCCAAATATTAACATAATGCAAACAATTTGTAATAGGTTGAGCACTCTTATAGACACCATTGACTATGAAAATCAATACCTACTCACAACAGGATTTTTTATAATTATACCAGAGAACAATTACGCAAATCAAATATAAATATAAGGACAAATAAGAAGTGTAATTCCTCGGCATGGATGGTTCAGAGGTATATCTACGATTACTTCAAAAAAACAAGTGAGATTTATATACCAAAGGTACAAAACAAAAATAACCTTATAACAAATGAGCAGTTGTCAACGGGACATCAACCATCCATCCAACTACCGACTTCCAACCAAACCTTAACAAATACAGGAGTAGAACAAAGAGAAAGAAGAGGACCAAATAAGTCGACTTTTCGTGAATAATTTTAACATTATATTCCAAAATATGCAAAGCATCTGTAACAAAACTCACCTCCTGGATGCATTATTAGAGGATAAACCTAATCTACATCATATTTGTATATCAGAGTCTTGGTTAAACAAACAAAAGTTAAATTTACTTAAAATAGAGGGCTACACAGTTTGCTCCTCATTTTGTCGTGAAAATCATGAAGGTGGTGGTGTCTGTATGTTAATAAAGAACACATTTGAATTTTATAACCGAATGGATATAACCTCGTTGTCTTTGGAAATGGTGTTTGAAATATGTGCTGTTGAAATACCTAAATTAAATCTAGTTATCATTAATATTTACAGGCCAAATATAAAAAGAGAAGTAGAGTTATTTTACTCATGCCTTGAAAAATTACTTAACCATATATTAAAGAAAGATTTGTGTAAAAATATTGTTATAGGGGGCGATTTTAACGTCGATTTCCTTACAGAAAACAATGAAAAAACCGACTTTCTAAGTTATTTTTAAGAAATAATTTCCATCAAAAGATTAAAGAACCTACCAGAATTACACCTAATAGCTCTACATGCATAGATTTGCTATTCTTAAATTTTAAAATAAACGATAAAGATGTATCTGTTTGTGAATTTGGCTTCTCAGATCATAGTGGATTGTTAATTTCTTTACCTCACAATGACCAAAATCTTAATAATTTTGTATTATACAAACGAATATTTAACGAACCTAACATAAATAAATTCAAAACAGAATTAAGGCATATAAATTGGAAAGATAGACTCAAAGTTAATAAAAGTATAAACGAAAATTATAACATATTTAATGATGTAATGCAAAATGCTTTAAATAAATGTATACCAAAAATTAGAATTAACATAAAAACTACACAAGACAAAAAATATCTAACAAAAGGAATAAAAATATCATGTTGTCACAAAAGACACTTGAAGTTATTGGTATCTAAATCAAAATCTATTAACTTAGCAAAGAACGTGGACACAACAGAGATGAAAAAAATTATAATGAAACTAAAAAACAAAAAATCTTACGGTATTGATGAAATTCTCCCGGTTTTGATTAAAAATTGTGTCGATTTACTAACGGTTCCATATACTAAATTAGTAAATCAAGCTATTTCAGAAGGTATATTTCCTGACGCGTAGTCGTCGAGTAGTTCAAGTTCACGAGTAAGTTAGCTCCACAAATATTAATTGCTTAAAAATAGTAATCTTCTTCATAACTCCATAAAAACATTACAATACTGTTTATCTATAGTGGTTTTGTATGTGCAAGTGCTAATCGCGAAGAAAACTAAAGCGTTATCCGAGGCCGATTCTAACTAAGTTTCATCATACTGAACTCGTCTATATCGTCTACTTACAATGGTTTTAAAGAAATGTATAACTTGTAAAAAGAACATAACGAAAAAATTGCCTGGTTTAGAATGTAGCAGGTGTGAAAAAATAGTTCACGCTGACCCTACATGCGCTCATCTATCTAACAAGCAGCTAAATACATTACGTAACACTAATGGGCTGGAATGGAGTTGTAGCGACTGCTTGAAAAACTCATCTCGCAGATCATCATTTGTAATTCCGGAGGAGGATATTGAGGATGATGAATCAGAAACAAGTTTACTGGCAGCTGATAGTCAAATAAAGTCTATGAAATTAGTGCAAGATATAAGTCGAGAAATTAAGAAAACATTCCGAGAAGAACTAGGAAGTCTACAGGAATCTTTGGAATTCTTGGGTGATCAAATCAACAATATGGAAAAGTCTATAATGAATCAAGATAGTAAAATTAAGGAACTAGAAAATAAAAACTACGACCTACAATGTAAAAACAAAAATCTAGACCTCCGAGTAACCGCTCTGGAACAACTAATAAAACAAAATGAGCAAAAGAAACTTGAGACTTCCTTAGAGATTGCTAGCCTGCCGGCGGGGGCTCCAAACAATATTAACATAGCTATAGAAAAATTGGCTTCAGAGTTGAACGTCGATGCACTGGATATCCAATCCTCCCATCAACTACCCGGAAAAAAGGAAAATTCCCGGTCCAATACTGTTACAAATGAAATCGAAAACGGCTTCTAGGCAATGGATAGAAGCTGCTAAGAAACGGCGTCTTACTGTAAAAGTTTTAGTGCCGAATGCTGCTAATGATGTTGCTGATAGACCGGTATTTGTCAGGGAAGCTCTTACGAAATATACGAAGACCCTACTGTATAATGCAAAACAACAATTGAGTAAGACATTTCAATTTGTATGGTGCAAGGAAGGCAACGTGTGTGCTAGGAAGACGCATGACAGTAAAATTTTCTATATCAGAAGTTTAGAGGACATTAAGCGTATTGAATAACGTGTAAAGAATTAAATGTGAAAATATTTGTGAATTGAGGTTAACCGTTTGTTTATTTGATCACAAAAAAAAAATACATTATTCTTAATATGGATGATCATTCTCAAAGTATAGAAATCCATAATTGTTCCACACCTAATTCTTTTATAAACAGACTACCTTCTAAAACTCAGTTAAGTTTATCTTGTATTCATATTAATATAAGATCATTAATTAAGAACTTTAACAAATTACTTGAAATAATTCACAATTGTAATTTTCCTCTAGACTTAATAATAATTACGGAGGCGGGTATCTCCGACAGTATCGTTAATTTATATAATATACCTGGATACAATTTGTATTCGCGGTTACGTCATAGAAAAAAAAAAGGGTGGCGGTATCATTATTTATGTTAAGAATCACTTAAAATTTACTCCTATTTATAAAAAAAACCTTTACATTTGAATGTCTTACCGGTAATCTTAAATTTGATAGTGATAAGAACGTAACATTGTGTGCAGTGTACAGACCGCCGTCTACCAATAGAAACATATGTATCATGGAATTTAGTAATTATCTAACTAATTTTGACTCAAAACAAAATCTTGTTTTGATTGGCGACACTAATATCAACTTAAAATCGATTAATTCTCATACAGAATTGTATCAAAATGCAATGAGCGGGCACGGCCTCGTGTGTGGAATCACGGACTTCACAAGAATTGAAAAAAAGTTAAATATAACCACTAAATCATGTATTGACCACATCTATACGAGATTCCCCACATTAAGTCCGTGCACGGCGGTGCTAGATACTGTACTGGCCGACCACCGTGCGATAATCCTTGCGTGCACAGAAGCAAACGTTCAAGAACGCGGCACGTGTATAAAGAGTGTTTCAAAAAAATATATTAATCGCGATATCTTATATGATGAACTAAAACAAGTTAATTGGTCACTTACAAATAAAATGAGTTTTCCGGAAGATATTTTAAAATTTATCCATAATTCGTTTCAGAATGCAAATACAACTGCATCTACAATATATACATCAAATAAAAAAAGACAAATACTAACTAAAATGCCTTGGATCGACGAAAATGTTACGCGGCTTTGCAAAAAACGAGACAAAATATATAGATTATGGAAAAATAACTCTACAGATGCTAACATAAGATTAGAATATAACCGTATAAGAAATAAGGTTCATAAAGTATTAGAATATAAAAGAAATCATTATTACATGAAACAAATACGAAATAATACTTCTAATACCAAAAAATTGTATGAAATTCTTAATAAAATGTTGGGCCGCGTGACATTATCTATCGATTCTGTCATAAATAAAGTCTTTGAAGCTCAAGGTCTGTCATCTAAATGTATTGCTAATAGATTTGCAGATAGCTTCCACAAAGTTGTTCAAAATATTATTCCAAAATGTAATACGAAATTACTCAGTCCTAGTACCTGCTGCAAACCTGCTAATGCCAGTATATTATTAAGGAAAGCATCTCAGGGGTCTGTTTACAATATTATCAAAGATTTAAATCCGAGAAAAGCACCTGGAATAGACCAAATAAGGGTATCCGACGTGAAATTGATCGGAAAAGATGTTTCAAAAGCGATAGCTAATTTGATTAACTGCTGTTTTAAAACGGGAACATATCCCAATGAATTAAAAAAAGGTTGCATTAGACCTGTACACAAAAAGGGCAAACATGAAGATTTTTATAACTATAGACCAATTACACTGCTCTCA